GGGATGCGGGAGGCACTGAGGGAAAGAGAGCATGTGTGAAAACATGATGAAGCCTATTGCTTTGTATGCTAATTGTATGTTTAGAAATAGCTTCGCAGGAGCAGTGGAACCGTATGTGAGCAAAATGATCAAAACACCAAAAGGAAAACTAGAGTTGGAGCAATGTAGATACCACAACATACTTAATAACACAATTTACCACAAAGTGGACATTTTGCAGTTTAAGAAATTGTGGATCTAAGGCAAATGATATTTAATGGACCCCCAATTTCATAGAAATTCACTATGTAGACAGACTCGCAAATAAGGGAATAAAATAGAAAAGCCAAAATACAATAAATAGAATCTACAAAACACCCAGCTTATACTTTTTCCCTATAAAAGGAGGCCTGAAAAGTTAACTCACACTCTACTCTCAAATCCCCCTTCGGAGGGTCAGTCCTATGCATAGTAAATAAAGCCCATTTAATTGCTTTAATTTGGATGCTGGTTTTCATTTTCGCTTGGTGGGATCCCAAGGCAGATGGAACTGCTGTGGGAGGTAGGAAAGGGCTGAGAACTACCTAAGCAAACACAAAATGGAGTCAGAATAAGACGACGTTACCTTAGTCATTTCAAAGAGACAAGTTATCAGTCCCAAGGCCACCGTGCGCTCTGTCTGGGACATATTTGAAATGCTTTGTGGGAAGAATCTGTGGCCAACCTCTTATTGGGTTCCCTGTTGGAACCTGTAACCCTTCTGCCTACAACGCCCTCCTGTCCTGTTGCTATGACTTTGAAGATGTTTGAATGAAATTCCAAGATGTTGTTGGAGGGACAGAGAAGAGCAGGAACATCAAGCTCTATGATCCAGCAACCCTCCTGTGTACAGTACGCGATGAAGGTCTTTGAGTAGTGCCTCTGTGTCCGCCCCTGCCCCGAACCACCAGAAAGTGAAAATCTGGAGGAGAGATTTGTGTGAACTTCCTGTTTCCCGACAAAGAAAACAGGGCACAGTGTGTAATGTGTGTAATAGCAAACAGTAAAACAAAATTAATCATTAAGCAGCTTAGGAGACTTCAGGGGTGCAGAGGAACACTAGACAAACGGTTTGATGAAGTGTTCATGACGACCAAAGGTGAAATCAGAAGAGATGACGTGGTCGTCTAAATTGAAACAACCTAGAAAAGAAACAGCACGTACTCTAAAGGCTGCTACAAAAACACACGAGAAGATTTGTTTCTAAAGTCGCTCTCGTTTTGAAGACACCCAAACCGGAAAAGACAGATACAGTGGTAGGAACGACTGAGAATCGAGACATCAGTGGTTTCTGGTGGGGACTTTTTATTAACATGAATGATAGTTGAATGTCATGTCTACTTCACGTGACTCTTCCGCTAAAGTTCTTCTAACATTAGTAAACACGCCAAAGCTGCCAATTTCACCTGGTTCAAAACCACTGGCTGAGGGAATAAGTCAGTGCCAGAGCACCAAACGTGGTCCAATTCTCAGCACTGTTAAAAAAAAAATAACAGTATATACAATGTTTATCAAACATAATTGTAATTTTCGTAATTGTGTCTAATTCTTTTTTCTTTTTCCAGTTTTCATGTGTATGCAGGTGTATGGATGCGTGTTTTTGTACATGTCTGTGGCTGCCTGTGCTGTGTGTGTGTGCATGTGAGTTCAGGCCAGAGGTTGATCTATTACTCTTTCACTTTACCCATTCCGTTAGTCTCCCAATCAAACGCAGTGCTTGCCAGCACAGCCAGTCTTGCTAGCTAGCTTCCTTTGAGGCATGCAGGTCTGTGCCTTCTGAGGCTGGAATTAAAGGCAGCCACACCCATCCATAATTTACTTAGGTTTCTGAGGATTCAAACTCTGGGCTTCAAGCTTGCCTGGCAAGTGCTATAACTGCAAAGCCATCTATCTCCCCAGCCCAAATTTAATGGAAGCATTTTAGTTCCTAAAATAAATATCTGGTCGTTAAAGAAGGAATTGTCGGGCTGGGGATGTAACTCAGTTGGTAGAGTGCTTTCCTAGCATGCGTGAGACCCTGGGTTCCATCTTTAGCACTGAATAAACTGGGCGTGGGAGCAGATGGTATGCCCTCCTAGTACTTTTGAGGTGGAGGCAGGAAGATCAGAAGTTCAAGGTCATCCTCAGCCTAGGATGCATGAACCCTGTAAAACACACACACACACAAACACAGAGAGAGACAGACAGAGAGAATTGAGTAAGCATTACTGGCTGCTTTTTCATTAAATGCGTAAAACAGTTTTAGTCAGTTCTTTGTGAGGCTTAAATTATCTTAATTTAGAAATGTATCAAACAATTGGCCATAGGTAACTTTCCACAGTAGAGAAGACATCATCAAGTAACTCTTTGCACTCACATCTGAGAAGCACCCTGAAGTGATTTTGAAACTGTGAAGTGTATGAAAGTGAGGCCATCGTAACCGATCATCTGTATGTGGACACAGCCATGTCACACATGTGTGTGGATTCTTTCGTGACCTCTGTGAGCATTCTGATTTCCAGTGGCCATTAAATGCTAGACATTATTGTCTGGTTAATTACGAGATGCGTCCCATATTCCTAGTTCTTTCTTACAGGGATTCAGATTTACGACAGTGGGTATTTCATTTGGAAACTACAGATATTTATTAGGGAAAAAAAGCATTTTACCCTTTCAGGTCACGGGTCCCTCCTCTACAGCATTCTCACTCCCGTGTTATCTTGATTGTCACAGCACACCGACCTTAGGACTTCCAGGGGTGAAGGGGCCAGTTTTACATTCTGTTCACAAGGATGTGAAGGAGATCAACTGTCTGGGTTTGAATTCTACTTCTTTAATATATATGTATTTACATGTCATTTCTCATTCTCTCCCCCCATCCTCCACAAGTAATTGACTTTTTTTTTAAACTTGTAAAATGGAGACAACAATAGCATCCACTTCTGGGTTATTGTGAGGACTGTGAGAAAATACGTAAGATGAATAATTAGTGGCACACAATATATTATGCTGATAAATACTTTGACATTTTTGTTGTGTGTACTGTAGATCAAACCCCACCCAGGCTTTCTTTTTTGAGACAAGTCTTGCTGTGTAGCACAGGCTAGCCTCAAACTCATAACCCTTCTGCCTTGTCTCCCAAGTGTCGGATTATAAGCACGCACCACCCCTTTCAGCTCTGGTAGCATTTATCTGAGTCTAGGAATGTGTCCTAAGGAAATAATAATTCAAAATTTAGAGATGTTGCAGTTCTGGTCATACTGGTTAAAATTAGGAATAACCTTCATGTGATGAAATAAATTATGATGCATCCGTGCAGCAGAAAACCATGGGAAGAAAATAGTGTAAGAATTAGGAGAACAGTATTGATGGAAACTGAGGCTGGCCTGCGTCTCAGGATACCTAGAACTCTTTCCAGATCTTTCTGCTTTGCTTTCATCTGTGTCAGCCAGCTACCATGCTGTAGCAATCTTTGAATCTCAGTGGGATACAACAGTGAGCATCCATTTCTTCTCATGGCCAGCTTGTAGGCAACTGGGCCAGCTCTGTGTCAGACTAAATGACCAGTGCTGATGACTCCGTGCTAGCCAGAGAATGTTCTAGCCATGATAATCACAGAAGCAGCAGAGCTCGAGAGACGGTGCTATGCCTTTAGTTCTAAGTTCAGATTTAACGTGATGCTCCCATCCGCATTTCTTTGGCCGATGGAAACCAAGTGGATGAATCACAGCAGAGAGTCAAGAAGGCATCCGCAGCAGCTGCTGCTGCTGCTGCAGAAGCATGGGGTCAAGGCAGTTAGCAGCTCGTGCTAGTAATCTCTTCCCTGAGATTGATATTCAAGTGCCATCGCGTTCACCGAACTCACCCTACTTTCTGTGTAACTGTCTTTTTCTCCTAACAGAACCCTAGAACCATTAGGTCTTTACAGTTCTCTAAGGACACCACTCTGACTGGGGCGACAGAGCTCCTAACTTGAACCTTGAACCTCCTTTCCTAGGGATATTCTTGTCTACTGGTCTAAGTCAATTTTCTTTTCTTTTTTCTTTTTTAATTAATTATGTACGCAGTGTTCTGCTTGCGTTTCTGTCTACTGGTCTAAGTCAATTTTCTTTCTTTTTTTTTTTTTTTTTTTTTTGGTTTTTTGAGACAGGGTTTCTCTGTGTAGCTTTGCGCCTTTCCTGGGACTCACTTGGTAGCCCAGGCTGGCCTCGAACTCACAGAGATCCGCCTGCCTCTGCCTCCCGAGTGCTGGGATTAAAGGCGTGCGCCACCACTGCCCGGCCTCTATTTTCTTTTTTAATTAATTTATTTATTATGTACACAGTGTTCTGCTTGCGTATATCCTTTCAGGCCAGAAGAGGGAGCCAGATCTCATTACAGATGGTTGTGAGCCACCATGTGGTTGCTGGGAATTGAACTCAGGAAGAGCAGTCAGTGCTCTTAACCTCTGAGCCATCTCTCCAGCCCCGTTAATTTTCTTTGTAATGAGATTTATAGTAAGTATTTCACTTCCTTAGATTTAGCCTAAGTGCTATAAATCCATAGTATCTTTCAGGAAGATGGCTTATTTATTACTGACTTCACTTTATACTGCTGTGGATGGTTGATTCTTCCTGTGTGCCTTGAGGAACAGAGGCCAGTTTGTGTTAGGGGGCCTCTTTTCATATCTCTCAGAGAGTCTGATGTAAGAAGTTTCTGGATCCGAATGAGAAAATTACCCAATCCGTGAACGAATCTAAAATTAGAGTTGTGTCAGAGCCGTTCTGTAAGGAATGTAAACAGTCGAGGGAGAAAATACTCAGAATGGAGTGTCACTGAAGCTCGAGCTTTCCAGAGGGTTCTGAGCAGTCACAAAACAAAATGAGCAGACAAACTAAAGACAGAGTTTAAACAGAGAGAGATGCGTGGGGTTGGGGATTTAGCTCAGTGGTAGAGGGTTGCCTAGCAAGCACAAGGCCCTGGCTTCAATCCTTAGAGAGAGAGAGAGAGAGAGAGAGAGAGAGAGAGAGAGAGAGAGAGAGAGAGAGAGAGAGAGAGGGAGAGGGGCTACAGGCTTTGAGAATGGAGAAAGCATGCTTTTAAAAATCAGGGATGGAAAGCTGGGAACAAGGGTCCACATTTCTATCTTACCACTTGGGAGGCAAAGGCAGGTGGAGTTCTGGAAATTCAAGGCCAGCCTGGTCTACATATGAGTTTCAGGCTGTCAGTAAGTCCCTGGAGAGAGAGGTCGGAGGGGTATGTAGCTAGGCATGGTGGCACAGGGCTGTAATCCTAGACTTGGGAGGTAGAGGCAGGAGGATCAGGAGTCATCCTTGGCTACATAGTAAATTTGAGGACAACCTGGCCTACAGGAGACCCTGTTACAGAGGGGAGCAAAGAACTAAGGACGTGTTTCCCAGAAAAAGGAACACAGCCATAATGCAAATGAGCAGAAAAGGCAATTTCCTTCCTCTTTTCCAATCTTAGTTCCTAGCCCCTAGCAAAACCTCTTCAATGTCTTAACGTTACAGATTTTTACCAGCTTGGAGGTGACATGTGGCACCTAACAACCCTGCTCCTTTGGGGTAAGTTGGACTCAGGGAGGCTTGTCGGGGGACTTGGCTTCTGGCCATGGCGAATCAAGACTTTTTGTCATCGTTTGGCATGTTAGCCTAGAACTCGTCTAAAGACTGCTGTATCGATGATCCAATAGTTTATTATTGGTGCTTATTTCCAAAGAATGGGAAGGGGGCCCTCTGGTGGCATTAAGCCTGCAAGCCTCCATCAGAATAAAGAGAGCATCACAAATAACCACCCTTTCTGCTGGGGCTTGATTTGGGGAAAGAGGGATGGAGAGTCTCTCAGGAGACTTCATCTGGGTCCTCAAAGTCGACGTAAACTCTCTTCCCAATTCTGCTCTGTCATCATCGTCTTCTGTCCATCAACTGATATCTGTGTCTCCGGTCTCTTGCAGTTCCAGTTGGTGGACAAGTAGGTGAGTGACCTCTCTGTCAACTTCTCATCTGCTGCTTTCCTGCTTTCCAAGGGTGGGTTCCACTAGCCTGGAGGGAAGAACACGGGGAAGATACACAAGAGAAAGATTTCTTAGTTACCAGCTCTGTATTTAGAGAACAGTTTCTACAAAACTGGTTTTTAAGGTTTCTGTCCAAGGTTTTCTGAGTGAGCCCTGGCTGCTGAACTAAATTCTTAGCACAGTGCTTCTCACCCTTCTTGATGCTGTGACCCTTTAATACAGTTCCTCATGTTTGATGACCCCCAACCATAAAATTGTTTTTGCTGCAACTTCATAACTGTAATTTTGTTACTGTTATGAATTGTGATGTAAACATCTGTGTTTTCTGATGGTCTTAGGTGACCACTGTGAAAGAATCATTCAAACTCCAAAGGGGTCATGGCCCATAGGTTGAGAACCATTGGCCTAGTGAGCTCAGAAAAGCACAGAATTGTGGGAAGCCAGAAGCAGTCCTGCTGGGCTGGTTTTTCTTGTACCCCCCAAACCTGTCCCTTTTATAAGAAAACAGAGAGAGGTTTTCCTCCTCAGATAGGAAGAGTTCAAGGACTTGAGCCTCAGTTTCCAATAAAGAAGTGGATGGAGGTGCTTCTCACCCCTCAAAGACAGCCTAGCACTGAGTATAGGGAAACTGTCTCAAGGCAGTTTGCTCTGGTTTGAAAGCCCCCTTTATTAACACCAGTGATTTCATCACCAGCACTCAAATCCTAACGCCTGGATTGAGATCAAATAACCCAGAACAGCTCCCACAGCAGTCGGGGCACTGGAAGGCTGGCTAGCTTCCTGGCTTTCCACTTGCTAATTTTTTCAAACTAAACACTTTTCCTTATGCTAGCGATCCTTTACCAGTCACTCCCAGTTCTTGCTTTATCCCTGCTTAGGGTTTTCTCTGTTGTTGTTCTTTTTCCTACAGCCAATGCCACAAAGGCTGTGATCACCTTGCAGCCTCCATGGGTCAGTATTTTCCAGAAGGAAAATGTCACTTTATGGTGTGAGGGGCTCCACCTGCCTGGAGACAGTCCACACAGTGGTTTATCAACAGCACACTCATTCAGATCTCCACGCCTAGATACATTATCACTAAGGCCACTTTCAAGGACGGTGGTGAATACACGCGCCAGACTGGTCTCTTAATGCCAAGCGACCCTGTACAGTTGAAAATCCACAGAAGTAAGCACGGCATGGGCAGGAGGGCTGGGGATCCCAAGGTCTCCCTTTGTGTGGGTGCCAGAGTCCTCTCTGTTTCTCTTTCTCTCTGAGAATATATGTGAGACATTATCTGAGTGAACGGATCAGCTCTAAGGACCCAGCAGGTCAAATCAAGTCAGTATAATTAAAACATCACATCAAGGCCCTACACACCCATATTGGGGACTAAGGGGGTCCAGCCCCTCGATAGTCCCCTTCCAGGGTCCGGGAAGAATCTACAACCAGCTGATAATTTAATCTTTGATGAAAGGAAATAAATCTATGTACACGAAACTCCTCAGTCCATACACTTAATTCTTCTGAGTCAGTTCTCTCTACACAGCTTCTATTCTGCTCTCATACCTAGCTCCTTTCTTGCCTGATTTCTCTCTATGTTTATCTACTGTCTCCTCTAAGTTCTATCTTAATTCTCTCATCTTAGTTCTGCCCCATCTAGTTCCTTCCCATCTCAGCTCCTCTCCCATCTCCTTCTCTCTCATCTCCTTCTCTCTCATCTCCTTCTCTCTCATCTCCTTCTCTCTCATCTCCTTCTCTCTCATCTTGTTCTTCCCCATCTGGCTCTTCCTCATCTTCCACCTCGTTCCTCTAGTCCTCTCTTCTAGCCCTTCAATCTAGTTCTTCCCATCTAGTCCGTTCCTCTCCAGTTCTTACCCATCTAGCTCTGTTCTCTTTTTTCCTCTCTCTCGCCTCCTCTCAGTCTCCTTATTCTCTCAGTTCTCCCCAAGTCTCTCAGGAATCCAGTTATAAACCTCCCCCTCCAGCCAGGTCACCAGGCTTGAATTCCTACAGGGTCATAAAGGCAGGTAAGAGTTTTCCTCAGGCACTGACCACCAGGCTTTCTTTTACAACCCAAAAGGGGAGTGGTAAAGGAGGAGGTCAACAGAGAGCTAATGATTGGTTAGTATATCAAGAAGGGGATCTAGGTGCTCAGTCTACACTCCTAGAAGCAGTTAGTTGAGAAGTTAGGAGTCTATAATGTTAGTAATAGAAAAGGAGGGTCTCAGGCTGCACAAGAAATAAGGCTGTCCGCCCGACCTAGGGAACAGCGCCTGTTCCCTTAAGGGTGTTACCTTATAAGGTTCAGGAGATTGTCGGGCCTTGGATGCTTGATAGACATTTTAGATAAATACACTGTTAGGAGTTCTTGGAAGCACACATAGCATTACAAGAAAATCACTGTGGGAACTGGCTAATATATATACAAAAGCTAAAATATCACCAAGACTTCTGAAGCCATGGCTTGACCTTTGGGAAAGTCCTTGACTTTTCCAAGTAGCAGCCCTTTTGTTTCCATTTTTATTTATTTATTTATTTATTTATTTATTTATTTATTTATTTATTTATTCTATTATCAGCTTGATACAGTACAAATTCTTATCCTAATAGTGAAATGCTTCACTAAAGCTTGCCCAGTAATTGAGTAAAACCAAAACTTATTATAAGCCACAGTCATCCTAGGGTCCCCCCTGCTATATAGCCTCCCTGGTTCTGTGGGTTGTAGTCTGATTGATTGTTCTTTGCTTTATATCTAGAATCCACTTATGAGTGAGTACATACCATGTTTGTCCTTCTGGGTTTGGGTTACCTCCCAAGTAGTAGCTTTTGTGACAGTAGCTGAATTCTATTACGTTTTCCTGAGGCTTACAGCACACCCATAGCACTCCAGCTGACCAGTTTTGGATACAATGTATCAAGAAAAATCTCAGACTCTAATATTTTATCTTTGTCCAAAATTTATGCCAACATATCTCTAACTTCATTAATAGCAGCTTTTTTTTTTTTTTTTTTTTTTTTTTTTTTTTTTTTTTTTTTTTTTTTTGGTTTTTCCAGACAGGGTTTCTCTGTGTAGCTTTGCGCCTTTCCTGGAACTCGCTTTGGAGACCAGGCTGGCCTCGAACTCACAAAGATCCGCCTGCCTCTGCCTCCCGAGTGCTGGGATTAAAGGCGTGCGCCACCACCGCCCGGCCTAGCTTTTTTTTTTGTGTGTATTTTTTTGTTGTGTTGTTCTGACTGTGTATAGTGGCTGCACAGTTTTAATTTATATTTCTTTGGTGACTGTGGTATTGACCACTTTTTTTTTTTGTTTGTTTGTTTTTTTGGTTTTTTGAGACAGGTTTTCTCTGTGTAGCTTTGCGCCTTTCCTGGAACTCACTTGGTAGCCCAGGCTGGCGTCGAACTCACAGAGATCCGCCTGGCTCTGCCTCCCGAGTGCTGGGATTAAAGGCGTGCGCCACCACCGCCCGGCTGGTATTGACCACTTTTAATGTGCTTATTACTTGTCTTTATAAAGCCTTTATAAGGTACCTGATGAGTCTTTTGGCCAATGTTTTTTATTTTTCTGTGTGTGTGTGTGTGTGTGTGTGTGTGTGTGTGTGTGTGTGTGTGTGCCGTGTGTGTAGGTACCTACCCTGGATAGCCAGAACAGGCTGTTGGAGCTCCTAGAACTGGAGTCACCGGCAGTTCTGGGAACTGAACTCAGGCCCTCTAGAGCAGTGGTTCTCAACCTTCCTAAAGCTGGACCCTTCAATACTGTTCCTCATGCTGTGGTGACCCCCTAACCATAAAGTTATTTTCATTGCTACTCCATAACTGTAATTTTGCTACTGTTATGAATCGTAATGTAAATTTTTTTTGGAGATAGAGGTTTACCAAAGGGATCGAGGCCCATAGGTTGAGAATCACTGCTCTAGACTCCCAGCAAGCACTCTTAACTGCTGAGTCGTCTCTCCTTCTCCCCACCCCATTAGCTCATAGGAATTCTTTATATATTCTGGGTTTCTCAAGTGTTGGGGATTTCTCTGCAGCGTGCCTTTTCAACGTTATGGTCCCCCGGCCCCACAAATGAACAAAAGTTCTCGACTGTCATCTAATTCTGGCTACTGCTCTCTCCATCCTGTTTATAAAACGGTTTGCCGAGGTTACGTCAGTGTTCAGCCACTTTCAGTCAGTCTGGGGTTGCTAAGACACTGGGTGTTAGACATTCCCCGGGAGGCAGAGAGAGGGGCCGCCTCGGGAGTAAAGGCAGCAAACTCCCAAGACGGCCAGCTTCTTCCTCACCCTCCTGGTAGGAGACAAAATCCTGGCAGCTTAAAAAAATAGGCCTGGAGGGCTGGATTTGTTTCCTTATTTTCTGCCACCAATTGGGCCCTCTGCTGATGGATTAGCTTAGGAGTTGAACAGGCTCTGTATATGCTTACAGAACAGCTGTGGGCCAGTCAGCCACCAATCCTAAATTAGGGGAGAAAGACTCGTCAAAAACTTAAAAAACCCTAGCCATGGAGAAGGGACTGGATTTATTTTATTTTATTTTATTTTATTTTATTTTATTTTATTTTATTTTATTTTATTTTATTTTATTTTGAGACAGGGTTTCTCTGTGTAGCCCTGGCTGTCCTGGAACTCTCTCTCTAGACCAGGCTGACCTCGAACTCACGGAGATCCTCCTGCTTCTCCCTCCTGAGTGCTGGCATTAAAGGTGTGTGCCACCGCCACCTGGAGACTGAATTTTTAAGTCCTTAGCCCCACTACTGTGTGTGCAGAGGGTCTCTGTGACCTTCTGTGCATGCAGAGGTGTGTGCAGAGGGTCTCTGTGACCTTCTGTGCATGCAGAGGTGTGTGCAGAGGGTCTCTGTGACCTTCTGTGTGTGCAGAGGTGTGTGCAGAGGGTCTCTGTGACCTTCTGTGTGTGCAGAGGTGTGTGCAGAGGGTCTCTATGTATTTGCTGTGTGTGCAGAGGGTCTCTGTGAGCTTGCTGTGTGTGCAGAGGGTCTCTATGCACTTGCTGTGTGTGCAGAGGGTCTCTGTGAGCTTGCTGTGTGTGTGCATTTCCTCACCTCTGATAACAGCTCCTTTTCACCAGCCAGTGCTGTCTGCTGTGTTCAAGAATTTTCCTGCTGCATCTGCTGCACTCAAGATTTTTTCCTGCCTTTTAAATCACTAACTGGCAGAGAAAAAAAAAAACATAGAGACCCAGGACCAAGAAAATATAGCTAGTTGGTGGATCCAAGTTCTAGTCATGTGACTCAGAATGAGGGTCACTTTCCTACTCAAGGCAGTGAATTGAGGGGGTGATGTTTGAATAGGAAATGAGTAAGCTATGTCTATATCATATGATACAGCTAAAAGCTGTATCTCATGTTTTGATATGAAATATCCCCACTTAGGGTAAAAAAAACCCCACATTTTTCATCATATGTAGAATCTAGCCAAAAATATATGTAAACAAATAGACATTTGGTACAGTACAACATAAGGAAAGAGAACCAGAAAGGGACATCAGAGGACAAGGACAGATTACAGGTAAAGGACACGTGCCAGGAAAGAGGACAGGCAGCTAATTGTTTTTCTAGGTCTATCTCTGTCATGGAGTTTTCATTTTTGGTGATAAGTGCACAAAAATATACTCCATAGCGACAAACCCTATGTGAAGCCCCACATCTTCCATTCTGAATGGCTATTCTAACTGTATAAAAGTCCACTGAGATATATAGACCTCGAGTCTGGCTAATTTCAGTGTGTAAGTTTTTCCTATTTGTGTTTCGATTAATTTCATATGGAGATATATCAAAATCTTCTACTGAGCCGGGTGGTGGTGGCACACACCTCTAATCCCAGCACTCGGGAGGCAGAGCCAGGCGGATCTCTGTGAGTTTGAGGCCAGCCTGGACTACCAAGTGAGTCCCAAGAAAGGCGCAAAGCTACACAGAGAAACCCTGTCTCGAAAAACCAAAAAAAAAAAAAAAAAAAAAAAAAAAAAATCTTCTACTGAGTTTCAGACATAAAGCAAAGACATCAGTGTGTCTGGGCAGTGTGAGATTGAGTTTCAGGTCTTAATTGCATTTATAAGAAATGTGGCAGCGTCTGAGAACACAGACTGCCACACATTGCAGTGGACCGCACACTCGCTATCCATAGATGAGTTCTGGAGAGTGAAAGACCCACCTTCCCTGACACCTCATCTTCATTAACAGACACTTCAGCAGTTAGACAACATTCCTTTTCTACTGCATCATAACAGATTTTCCCAAACCTACAGCTCCAAACACGTATGACTATTACGCTTCAGCATTCATAGGTTCTCTGTAGTCAGGGTGTGGACTATAGTGTGTTCCTTTGGGTTCCTCTTAGAATTCACAGTTATTGGCAGAATTCAGTTCCTTGTGGTTATAGGACTAGTGTCTCCATTTTCTAATTGCTGTCCTTTGGTTTTGGGGGGCACTCAGCTCCCCAAAGTCCCTGTCATGTAATCCTCACAAGCTGTATGTCACATCACGGCAGCTTTTCTGCTTCAAGACCACCAGGAGCATCTCTATCTAGCATGCTAAGAAAGAGACAGATATAGCAAATGTGTGCCTGGCCTGGTATGTTCTCTTGGCTATAGAAACCAGACAGGGGTACATCACATTCAAAGGGCTTTGTATGTATGCTTCATTGGGTCATCTAAAAATTCTTTTTTTCATGCAAAATAAACTTTGTCCCAACCAATTTCTGAGCTCTGAGAAGGGATGATAAGAGGGGGCTAGTGTGCACAGCTGCTGGGAAAGGATGATGGGGGTGGTGTGCACAGCTGCTGGGAAAGGATGATGGGGGTGGTGTGCACAGCTGCTGGGAAAGGATGATGGGGGTGGTGTGCACAGCTGCTGGGAAAGGATGATGGGGGTGGTGTGCACAGCTGCTGGGAAAGGATGATGGGGATGGTGTGCACAGCTGCTGGGAAAGGGTGATGGGGATGGTGTGCACAGCTGCTGGGAAAGGATGATGGGGGTGGTGTGCACAGCTGCTGGGAAAGGATGATGGGGATGGTGTGTACAGCTGTTGGGAAAGGATGATGGGGATGGTGTGTACAGCTGCTGGGAAAGGATGATGGGGATGGTGTGCACAGCTGCTGGGAAAGGATGAAGGGGATGGTGTATATACTTGCTGGGAAAGGATGATGGAGGTGGTGTGCACAGCTGCTGGGAAAGGATGATGGAGGTGGTGTGCACAGCTGCTGGGAAAGGATGATGGAGGTGGTGTGCACAGTTGCTGGGAAAGGATGATGGGGGTGGTGTGCACAGCTGCTGGGAAAGGTTGCTTTTTTTTTCTAGCAAAGCTGAAGAGATTTGAGAGTGGGACTCAGGTGTGGGCCACAACAGAGACTGAGGTTGGAACGTTGCAAATAGTAGAAGATATCAAAGTTTCCAGGGCCAAGATTTGGCCTCCTTGGACTTCCTCTGTGCCTGCGAACACTGTGGGTCCTCACTTTTCAGGTTGGCTGCTACTCCAGGCCTCCCGCAGAGTCCTCACAGAAGGAGAACCTCTGACCTTGAGGTGTCATGGCTGGGAGAACAAGCTGGTGTACAATGTGATTTTCTATCGAAATGGAAAATCCTTTCACTTTTCTCGAGATTCTGAGGTCACCATTCTGAAAAGCAACACGAGTCACAATGGCATCTATCACTGCTCAGGCATGGGAAGAAACCAACGCTACACATCTGCTGGAGTGTCTGTCACCGTGAAAGGTATCCGGTCTAGATAAGAGTCACAGAAAGGAAGGACCAGAGAAACCACCACAAAGCATTAAAGTCCTCACCTAACTTACAAAGGAGGAAACTGAGTTCCAGGGAGACAAACGGCCTCCCCAAAGGCCACCCAACCACCACCGCCTGGGCCAGAACCGGAACCGAGGCCTCTGAGTCCCCACCCATTACTCTTTTCAGCATCCACAACGGCCCATCAGTGATCACAGGAGCGCATGTCAAAGTCAGGGGATAGAACTACACACTTCGTCTGTTTATTTTAGCTGCTAAGGCCAGAGACTCACTCATTCAAGGTAGCCAGAGTTACTAGGAAATAATCCAGTCAAACCTCATGACATTTCCATAGAAATTCTATAGAAGCCAGAAAGACATTAGGAATTGGATTTACTTTCCATTTGTGTTAGGAATACATAGCCTGTCTGAACTCCCTTCTCTTTAAGCTTCTGTAAATCAGTTTCCTCTGTCCAATTTGTACAAGACCTTTAACCCTTTCTATGACGTACCTCTTAGTGCTCAAACTCACTAGCTAGGTATTCCTTTGCTAAAAAATAGCTCATTTTTGTGGGGAAGAAATTACTGTCCCAGCTTGTCTTTTGAACAGCACAACTAATGAATGACTTAGCTGGCAAGTGCCTGTTAGTGTTGACTCTGGGTTACTGCCATGGGCGTCCATGGTTTCCTAATAAATGGAGCCACGCCAGGGGAGAGCACACAGTGTAATTGGGAAGCCCCTCAGCTAGTGACCAGTCATGTCTATTAGAAAATAGGCCTCTCTCTTGGAAATGGGGGAAACTCATTCTCTTGGGGCAAGATTCACAGAGGGGAGTCTCATGAAAAGGCCACCGACACTGAACGGAACAACTCTGTCCCTTCAACTTTCTCTTTAGAGCTATTTGCCGCTCCCGTGCTGAGAACGACCTTGTCGTCTCCCGTCCTGGAGGGGAGTCTGGTCACCCTGAGCTGTGAGACAAAATTGCTCCTACAGAGCCCTGGCTTGCAGCTCTTCTTCTCTTTCTATGTGGGCAGCAAGATCCTGGAGGAGAGGAATACATCCTCAGAGTACCACATACCAAGTGCTGGAAGAGAAGATTCTGGGTTACACTGGTGTGAGGTAGTCACAGCGGATGGCAGTGTCCTTAAGCGCAGCCCTGAGCTGGAGCTTCGACTACTTGGTGAGCTGGAGGTATGTGGGGGCTGGTGTCGCCACGTCCCTCCAGCAGTTCACGAGCAGGGCTCGGTACTTCGTTCACGTGGGGGCTGGTGTCGCCACGTCCCTCCAGCAGTTCACGAGCAGGGCTCGGTACTTCGTTCACGTGGGGGCTGGTGTCGCCCAGCGGGAAGGGAGCAGTTCACGAGCAGCTCCGTGCTTCGTTCACGTGGGGGCTGGTGTCGCCCAGCGGGAAGGGAGCAGTTCAGGAGCAGGGCTCGGTACTTCGTTCACGTGGGGGCTGGTGTCGCCCAGCAGGAAGGGAGCAGTTCACGAGCAGCTCCGTGCTTCGTTCAGAACTGCGCTGTTTTCCTCCACTCTCCCCTGAATTTCCGTTCCTCCTTTCCTGTCTGTCACTTTTCCGTTCTTTATCCCCTTCTTCCCTCCTCTCACTCTTCCTCCTGTTTGTTCCCTTCATTTCCGGTCTGTCCTTCCTGCTGCCCTTCCTCATCTTCCCTTTTCTTCCGCGCCCACTCACCTACTACAGAAGATGGTAGGGCGTCTTAGGGTTTCTATTGCTGTGGTGAAAGCCGTGACCAAAAGCAAGCTGGGGAGGAAGGGGCTTGTTTGGCTTACATTTACACATCACTGTTTATCATAGAAGGAAGTCAGGGCAGGAGCTCAAGCAGGGCAGGAACCTGGCGGCAGGAGCTGACGCAGAGGCCATGGAGGGGTGCTGCTTACGGGCTTGCTCCTCATGGCTTGCTCAGCCCGCTTTCTTATAGAACCCAGGACCAGCAGTCCAGCGATGGCACCACCCACAATGAGCTGTGCCCTCCTCCATCAATCACTAATTAAGAAAATGCCACATAGCTGGATCTTACGGAGGCGTTTTCTCAGTTGAGGTTCCCTCCTTTCAGGTAACTCTAGCTGTGTCAACTAGACATAAAACTAACTAGGACCAGGGTGTGTGCTTTGATGATGGAGTCACATGATGGCTTTACAGTTTGCCCTCATAGACAATATACTCTCCTGCCTGTATCTGACTAAATTCATGAGTTCTAGAACCAAGACTCTGTCAGGGAAGAATCTTCAAAACTGCTTCAAGCATTAAAGATTCAGAAACAGCAATTATCTGTGAGGTTCAGGACAATGTGACATTCTCAAGGAGCCTGCTCCACTTGTGGGGCCCGTCTGGAACTGCTGGAAGTTTCTTGTCCCCTGACCGTATCTCTGGGACAGACCAGCCTTCACCAGTCTTCTGGACACAGCTTGGCTGGATTGCTCTGATGTCTAAAGGATTTTTTTCTCTTTCAGGTCCCCAGTCATCAGGCCCTGTCTGGTTTCACATCCTTTTCTATCTGTCAACGGGAGTAATACTTTTGGTGGACACAGTTCTCTGTGTAAAAATACATAAAAAATTGCAAAGAAAGAAAAACTACAATTTAGAAGTCCTTTCGAATCAGGGGAAGAAAGAAACTTCCTCTCAGCAAGTTAGAAGCGATGACGTGTCTGAAGAAGAAAGAGACTTTGCAAGACAGACTACAGCCAAAGAGCCGCCGTGCAGCTCAGTGAGCGGCTGTAGACCTGGGCAGCCTTGACACCTTCCTCTCTGTGGCAGCGTGGGGGCACAAACTTCCACAAGTTGACTGACACGGAAAATGGGGGGCCATGGCATGTGACTTTTTCTCTTTCTTTCTTTCTTTTTTTTTCTTTTTTTTTTTTTTTGGTTTTTTGAGACAGGGTTTCTCTGTGTAGTTTTGGTGCCTGTCCTGGATCTCGCTCTGTAGACCAGGCTGGCCTCGAACTCACAGAGATCCGCCTGCCTCTGCCTCCCGAGTGCTGGGATTAAAGGCATCTGCCACCGCCACCGCCCAGCTTGGCATGTGACTCTTAAATAAAGCAAATATATAAGCTGACTTTGGTTGAGATGAATTGGGTAATCAGATGTTTGAAAGGAGACCTACTCTAAAGGATGCTTGCAAAATGTGGAGTTGAGTCATAGCAGGGATTTTGTTGAGTGTACATGATGTTTGGCCTTAGAGAGCAGAGAAATGGGATAGTAGGAAGTGAATCCCACAGAAAAACAACCTAAAGTGGGATCCTAGTTAGTCTTAACAATAAAAATTCGGAGTCAGATAGTGAGGGTGAAAGCTGAAAGACCAGAGAAGCAGAGCAGCAGCCACTAGCAACTTCTTACCTCTACAAATCCTCAGACCTAATGGGAGCGAGATCCTGTCTCCACCCACCTTATATTCCTGTCTCCACCTCCCTAGTGCTGGGATTAGAGACGTGAGCCTCCACTGCCTGGCTTTGTTTTTCTTTTAGACTGGTTTAATCTTGTGTTGCCCAGGGTGGCCTTGAATTCCTGATCTTCCTGCTTCCTCCTCCCAAATGCTAGGATTAAAGGTGTGTGCCACCACTGCCTGGCCTCTATGGTTAACTAGTGGCTTGTTCTGTTCTCTGATCTCCAGGTAAGCTTTATTTGTCTGAACACAAAATATCATACAACAACAACCCCCACCCAGCTCCTCTCAGCAGGAATCAGCTCTGAAGACTCCAGTCTGAGGAATGTCAAGCTAGGCAGGCTTGACATTCCTGCCCAGAAGGGAGAGCTGTGCCTCCCTCCCCTCACAGGGTGGATGGTTCCAGGGAAAGGTCTCCCTGGGGACAGCCTGCGTGTTAGGGGAGCCGACATGGATAGACTAGCACCACAGCCTAGGGTGAAGCTGAATGAAGGCTGGTCACCAGGAGAGGATCAAAATGTGTTCTCTTTCCCACCATTCCCTTCATGTCCCCTCCCAGATTTGCTGCCCCACCCCCACAGGACCTCGTGGCAGCAGCTAGAGATGGGAGTGGGGGGTGGGGGGGGTGGGGGGGGTCGGCAGTGTCCTGAGGTTGGATCCATCCATCTAACCTCCCTCAGGTCCAGATATTGCCTCACTCAAGCGGCCTTTCCAGGCAGCCTACACGTGGAGTCTTAAGAGCTGTGGTACGAAGGCTTTGGGGCTAGATGCATGAGCACCTGACAAGCAGTCATCACCCTCCAGTGCCCTCATGGGGCTGCTGAAAGCATTCTCCTCCAGGACTGCGTAGAAGCTGGAGCCTAAAACGGGGCCTGAACATTGGCTGAAGGAATACCTCTTGGAAGGCACAGCTCACGTGTGTATGCCACCAATGTACTGTGACCACACTAAGAAAACCGAACTCTAGAAACAAGGAATAGATCGTATCTCCATTTAAGGTCGCTCCTAAGGACCTGCTGAAGGCCCTTCACATCTCTGGAACTCTAGGCTCTGTTGGGCTGGAGGTCCGGGTCCCCAGAGGGGGTGTGGCATAGCATGAGTCTGATTGGGTAAGAACCATTAGTGGATACTAGGGCACTTTGGAACTTTTATAGCCAGGGACCAATAGACCTAAGAGAGACAGGAATAATGGTCACTGGAGGAGATACACTCTGTTGCAGAATGCATGCAGAAACTGTTAGTGTGAAAAACGGTCTTGGAGCTGGAGAGATGGCTCAGGGGTTTAAGAGCACTCCCTGCTCTTCCAGAGGACTTGAATTCAGTTTCTGTGACTGCTTGTAACTCCATTTCATGGGTCTCGATGCCCTCCTCTGGTCTCTTTCAGGCACTTACACATGCATGGCATACAGACATATGAACAAAAGACACAGATACAGACATACGAAAGAAAACAATCAATCTAAAAAAAAAAAAAAAAACCGGGAGTGGCACACGCCTTTAATCCCAGCGCTCATCTAAGTTCGAAGCCAGCCTTGTCTCCAGAGTTCCAGGACGGCCAGGGCTACACAGAGAAACCCTGACTTGCCTGTCTTGAAAAACCAAAACCAAAACACCACAGCTCTTACCTCAAAGGGAATAAGAGATATACATGTAAAAATAATATAAATAAATCTTTAAAAAATTAAAGATGGCTCAACAGCTAAAGAACTTACACTGCTTGTCTTAGTTACTTTGCTACTGCTGTGAAGAGTCATCATGACCAAGGCAACTTACAAAAGAAAACACTTAACTGGGGGCTTACAGTCTCCCGAGGGTGAGGCCATGACCATCACAGCAGGGAGCGTGGTAGATGTGGCAGGCAGGCAGGCGTGGCACTGGAGCAGTAGCTGAGAGCTTACATCTTACTGGCAAATTGGAGGCAGGGGTGGGGGGGAGACGGAGGGAGGGAGGGGGGGAGAGAGAGAAGAGAAGAGAGGGAGGGAGAAAGAGGAAAGAGAGGAAGGAGGGGGAGAGAGGGAGAGACTGAAGCATTTATTGTAATGATAACAAAAATAAAGAAAAAAATTGGTAATAGCAAAAACCATTCACATCTGACAACATTTGGTACCAGAAAGCAAGCTTGATATTCTTGTTTGTTTGTTTTTCGAGACAGGGTTTCTCTGTGTAGCTTTGGAGCCTGTCCTGACTCTCTGTAGACCAGGCGGGCCTCGACTCACAGAGATCCATCTGCCTCTGCCTCTGCAGTGCTGGGATTAAAGATGTGTGCCACCACTGCCCGCCACAAGCTTGATATTCTTGAATGATGAAATTTAATAGCTTGCCATATCAGTGGTTTTATACACAGTTTACGAAGCAAACTATCCTTTTTCCTCTAACTGGGCAAGGGAATATCTTTGTTTCTGATTGTACTTTTGTGAACTATGTGTTACTGTCGAGGGGTCTGGTGCAAGTTGTTTTCTGTCAATTAAAGAATTAAAAGGCAGAAGAGATCTCTAGCGCATCAGGTAGCGATGGCAAGGAGACTCTCAGGTACAGCTGCAGAAGCAATGGAGGAGAGCACACACAGACACACACCACATGCACAGATACCACACATGCACACACACTCACACATGCACACACTCATCACACATATTTTTTTTTCACTCTTTTTGGGGAGCCTACCACCAGCTCCCAAATAAATCACACACAAAGGCTTATTCTTAATTATGAATGCCCGGCCTTAGCTTGGCTTGTTTCTTGCCAGCTTTTTAAAACTTATCCCGTCTACCTTTTGTCTCTGGGCTTTTCCCGTTTTCTCACTTCTGTAAATCTTACTCTTATTCCATGGCTGGCTGTGTAGATGGGTGGCTGGCCCCTGGAATCCTCTTCCTCCTCTGGCTACTTCTTCCTCTTTCTCCCAGAGTTCTCCTTCTATATATTCTCTCTGCCTGCCAGCCCCGCCTATCCTTTCTCCTGCCTAGCTATTGGCTGTTTAGTTCTTTATTAGAACATCAGGTGTTTTGGACAGGCACAGTAACACAGCTTCACAGAGTTAAACAAATGCAACATAAACAAAAGTAACACACCTTAAAATATTCCACAACGTGCACACACACACACACACACACACACACACACACACACACACACACACACACCAGCAAGGTAGCAAGGGCTCACACAAAGACCTCCTGCAAAGCAGAGGGGCAGGTATTTCCTCTCCTGGAGGAGCAGGGGTTTTCAGGGTCTTTGGTGGGAATGGGGGTTCCCTTTCCCTACTTAGGGTTGCTCAGTTTAGACAAAGAAAGGGAAGCTGATAAGCGCACAGCACCTGACCAGCATGTGGTGGAGGGGGGCGGGCATGGGTGAGCTGTAAGCTGTAGGGGGCGCTACCGCGGGAGAAAGAGATGCCAGCCTTGGTCTCTGGTCAGAGGGATGAAAAAGAAGCCAGAAGTCTCCCCTGCTGTGATTTTGCTTTGAAATCTGTTTTCACTCAGTCCTGCATACAGACCTGCATCTTAAGGCCAGGACTTAGAATTTCTCTGGTTATCATGAGAAGTAAAAACAAATGACAAGGGGTTTCACAGGGCAACTTCCGGAATTTCTCCTCCGTGAAGGGCGAGTTGGTAGTTACCTCACTGGCCCGTTACTCCGTCCATTTCTCTACTGCACGCAGATGTGTCCAGCCGCTTGACATCGCGACACCTCCCAATCAAGTTACAAAACAGAAATGGGCCAGGATTTAGATCCTTGATAGGCAGGCACATAGGGAGGCGACAGATAGTAAATACGGCAAACCGCTTGCTGTTTGCTCCGACTCCTGACCAGAGACAAAGACCTAATGACTGGGTGGGCTTTTCCTCCTGCCAGCAGGGCCCGAAGTTAAGGCCCGATTAGTACATGTGGGCCTATCAGCTTCTGCTTTATTGAAATCGACCAGCCCTAAATTAGGGGAAGACCCTTCAAAGATCCTTAGGCCTCAACCCCTCCCGAAGAGGCGGGTTCCTGAGATCATCCCAATCTTTCTGTGTGCCCGGCTGTGTGTTCTTCCTCACCCCAATAAAAACCTTCCTTCACCGGTTGAGTCTGCCTGCTGTGTCTGAGATTTACCCTTTTGCTACCTGTCCCGCAACATATTTCCTGCCTTTAGTTCTTTAAATGGCACAGAAAACAAAACTCAAATCAAGACTCCTAGATAGTAACAGAAAGAAAAACAAAACAAAACAAAACAAACCCCTCTGGGCGGCATGACTCGCTGGCGCCACCGCGTGGTCATCTGCGCACACTGCAGCCAGCGTGCGGCTGCGTCGCCGTTGGCAGTGCTCGCGGACCCACGTGACCCGAACCTGGTGAATAATTGCTTTCCCCCAGGTGGCAGGAGCGAAATGATCTAGAATGGGTCTGCGGCAGCAGAAAGCATGTGGAAGAAGGCCGTGCG